CAGCAGTTCATGAATCGCACTTGGTTCTCATTTCAACTACAGCCTTTTATGCAAACCGGAGCAACAAAATATCATTGTCGTAATAGAGTAATAATACAGTAATACTGCCCAACAAACAGCAGTTTTTGCCGGGTCGTCAAACAACGTGTGTGGCGTGTGGACGGAAGCTCAGGTGGTGGTGGCAGCAGCAGAACTAAACTTTTGGGTCAATAGAGGGAGACATATTAATTTACAATTTATTTAAATGTTAAGGATACAGTGTTGCCACGTAAAACTCGAAAATTAAAAAGTAATTGTTTCTATACTTGTGTATATTTGTGTATTTCTTTTTTTTTTATGGGATTACCCAACACGTTGCAGTGTGTCTTTCTCTCTTTAGGCTGAGGATTCATGGAATACGATGAAGATAATTTTTAATTAAAATTTAATTAAGTGATGAGGGGAGGGCGATTTTTTTAATCGAAACAATAGAATATTGATTGCGCTTTTTTTTTGTTTTTTTTTTTTATCATCTATGAGGGAGGGATTATTTTGCAAGAATATAGTAAATATTGTAGACCTATAAAAATTATTAATTTTATAGTTTTTTAAAGATATACCGTATTTCCAGTCACGAAATTGCATTGGTTTTTTTTAAGCTGCATGTTGAAATAAATAATAATATTTTAAACTTTTGAAGAGGGCGGCAATGGCGGCGCTACGTCACCCAATTTCACCAAATGCCCCCCCTCCCCCCTAAAAAAAACCATATAGGCCTATTCGTCTTGGAGAAGAAAAAATATATATCAGTGGATTGTCTATCTATAAAATCGATTAAATAAGCCTCTGAAGCTCATAAATTGTCGTTTCGAGACATTTTAATCTCGCCGACGCTTCTGACCACCCCCACTAGTTTTCTTTCGTCGTGGACCTTTCCCCCTCCTCCCACACCAACGAAAATGTACCGTTTCTTAATTGCCCCTCACTTGCCCTTCTCTCTCCAGATTTCAGACGCTGGCTCCGCCACTGGCGGGCGAGAGTGATAATCTCATTTTTTTTCTATATGGCATACTTCCATGACTATAAATAAGTTCAATGGTGATAAAAAATATTGTTTTTTAATCACTGCATGCTAGTGTATCGATCCTTTGACATTTATCTTTCTAGCAAATTATTGACTGAATCTGAGTCAACTATTTAATGGTTTACATTCAAAACAAACTTAAGAACACGCAATGTTGAATCCTTTATAAACGAAGACCCTATTAGTTATTACTTGATGTTCCGAATTTTATTGAAAGGGTTGGCAACATTTTCATGATGAAAAGATAAGTGAGAAATAATTGGAGCTTCGTATTTCAGGTCTTCGGTCTTCGTTTTGTAGACACAAGTGTAGGGTGTAGGCCTACATAGAAAAAAGACCCTTAAAAATTTCAAAAACAGACGACCAAAAAATCTCGTAATTTTGATTTTATGACAGCCTGGTGTATTATCATTAAAATAGGCCTAAATGACAAAAAATAGGGGTCTTCAGTCTTCGTTTCGATACAGCAAGATCGGTCTTTCCTATTAAAAATGAAAAAGCCTGGTTTCTAACCAATTTGTTGTCGCGTCGGGTCTGTGTGAGTTAAACGCAGACGCGATGGTGTGCGTCGGGGCAGTCGCGTCGTAGAATATTAAACATGTTTAATATTTCTCACGACGGCTTAAGACTGTCCCCGACGATAATCGGGTCGGGCTGCGTCGGCCGACGCTGTCTGAATTGGCCTTAATAGGCGTATTTATTCGCACGAATCGAAAACGTTGCTTCCTGAGGTTGCGCATCTTTTTCCTTCAAAGTAGGCCTACTGAAACTTCGATAGAAATGTAAATAGGCCTGCGCATGAACGATGCCCGCGAATAAATTCGCCTAGTGGAAAACAGGTAATTCACCTAGTGGAAAACAGGCTTTATATTCGCGCCAATTGAAAGCGACGGTTCATGCGCACATGCGCATTCACATTTCTATCGGAGTTTTCGCGACGCGAAAAAGTGGGCAACCAATCAGAGCTCAGGAAGCGAACTGACGGTTTGATTCACGCGAATAAATTCGCCTAGTGGAAAACAGGCTTTAACTCATGTCACAGGTGTAGCGGGCTGCTATGTGATGTTGCCGCGAAAACCACTCGTATTCCTTATCGTATAAAGTGGCATAAACCAATGGGTGATCTGTATTTAGTATAGGCGTTGGTCCAGATCCAGTTTTTTTACTGGAATGTGTGCAGGAAGTTTCATGTATGCTCCTCCTCATAGAACTATTATTACTATGAATATTCCATAAAATTTAGGCCTATATTCCATGATTCCCCCTCCCCCATTTTTAGGGGGCAATACATCTTTTCAGTAGAAGTTTAGAGTATTGGATTTGCTAACTGGGTCTTATTGGTTTTTCCCACGAAAGCAGAATAGCTTTCTTAAAAATAAAAAAAAATATAATTATATATATAATATAAATCATCAAAGGTACATATACAGTGTTTAAATAAGGACATGATGGAACATCGGAGGCTACCCTGTAGCTTTTCAACGAATAAAGTCCTATAAAAGTAATTGTGTAATAAAATCCTCCGACGGGATTCGAACCTGCGACCTCTCGCTGACAAGGCGAGCGTCATAACCACTAGACCACAAAGGCTTCATGGTTGAGCAAGTCCAAATAACCGTTGGGAACATTGTATTACACAATGCTACGCCTCAATAGGCGTAATACAATGTTCCCGACGGTTATTTTATTACACAATGGCATTTATCGGACTTTATTCGTTGAAAAGCTATAGGGTAGCCTACACGTAGACTGTAGGTCCCTAATCTTTGTATCGTATATCGTACATCGTATATTTCCAGTCCCTAATCCTTGTCTTAATCAGTTGAAATGCTTAAGAATAAATCGATTTTGGCACAAATGGCGTTCCATATTACTTATTTGCATGGCGTTCCATAGTATACTTTTTCTGGGATTCTCATCAAAAAAGTTTCTCAACATAAACTGACGCTGGTGGCGCTTTCCGAAATGCGCTAATGTACTATCAGGCGAATTTGTAAACAGGACGATGACTTCCAAATACGCGCCGAAGAAATGATGTCCTTCTTTTCTAATAGAGGATATCCTACCAACATCACCGACGGCTGCCTTAACAAAATTAACCAAATGACACGGGAGATTGCCCTCAATCTCGAAAAAGCGACACATCTACCAACCGAATACCTCTAGTAATAACCTACCATCCGATAACGAAACAAGTAGCCGAAGTAATAACCAGGAACTTTGCGATTTTAACATCAGATGAAACCACCAGTAATGTATTCACATCACCACCGATGCATGCCTACCGCCGAGATAAAAATTTAAAAGACACTCTAGTTAATTCCGATGTTAAATCCTCACATACCCAACCACCTATTGGATTTACTACCGTACTGCTTGTAATCGACCACGATGTAAAACATGCGCTCATGTTTACTCAACCGATATCATCCACGGACCAGCTAGTACATTCAGAATAAAAGACACTTTTTCATGTATTTCCTGTAATATAGTTTACGCTATTATTTGTACTAAATGTCAACTATTATATATTGGAGACACCAAACGGCGTATGAGTGACCGCTTCACTGAGCATCTACGATCCATCAAACTCCAACTACCTGGTCTTCCAGTTGCCGCCAACTTTTCTACCAATAATCACTCTCTAAAGAACATTCAAACCACCGGACTGACTTTGTGCCATGGATCATGAGAAAAAACACTGAAGAACGTATTATATATAAGCTTGGAACACTTGCCCCTAATGGACTTAATGTATCATTTAAATCTTTCAGAAATTAATAGGCCCATTTACTGAATATGTTATACCATATACTATGCTGATGTTTATGCTTTTTTCATATCATATATATATTTCTATTTATTTTATTATTATGATTTTTCAGGCTTTTCTTTTTTATATATTATCTTGCCATGTTTTGCTCCGACTTATTTTGTCCCACCCATCAGTGCTTTTTTAGGGGGGAGGTTCCTCACTCCATTGTTCTATTGTTCCTTTGATTTATGCTTTGTTTTATTTACCAGCTTTCTATTGGCTACTACGTTTTGTTCTGCTCACCTATTGGTGCATTCTGTTCTGTGGAACCATGTTTTGAGCCTTCCGTATGCTATATATTTTGCTATTCTCATGTTTTTCTTTAGCTTGACAAAGGTTGATAACGGAAAACGTTTGCTCACTTCAATAAAATTATATATCTGGCAACTTATTACCATCTCTCCGGAGTTTTTGTTTTATATATATATATATATCAAGGTAGCCGTTGACACTGTTAAATCATATATAAATCATCAAAGAAAAGTAAATACAGTGTTCGAATAAAGGACTTAATAAATACATCGTGTAGCATAGCTCTCAACGAATGTAGTCCTGTAAATAAGGAGGGAAAACCCAGTGGAATAGTTTTGATTATGTTCTAATTTTGCTTCTTGTTCTTTCCTAAAAGGTTTTCTACCCTCCATTTTCTGTGCTTGAATTATCTTCAAACTGCGTCCAAGCAAAAAGCATAATTATAACAATGTGCCTATAGTGAAAAATAATGTGCATTCTAAATATTTTAATATTAATAAACTGGTAATAAATGTCAATTGTGTCTTATAGAACAAGTTACAACTAGGCTCAATGTAGAATTTTGGTGAAATGCATATTTCTATATTGTACCATAATTTTTTTTATAAAAATACTATCTTTTCGGAGATCTTGTCTTGTTATTTAAAAAAAACTTAAGATGAGGGCAGATTTAAATTCTTAAAGAAGCATTTGTGAGTTGGGTAAGACATTTAAATAGACTGCAATAGATACTGGGTTCAAATCCCTGTTGGGCAACTTTTTTTCACATTCGCATACTATTCTTCTTATATTTTGTAAATTTATCTGTCTATATACATAGTGTCTATTCACATGATATACGAGACAAAAAAGCAGAACTATAAACTCATCTGAAATTTAAAATTTCATTTACTTTGGAAAAATGATAGGTTCATAATACAATGAAAATATATTGATAAATGAAATACAGTGGATGGCAAGGAATCAAGTGAGTCATAATAAAACCATGGAAAATATCCCCCCTCATTTTTTGGACTAAACACTTTAGACTAGCACAAAACAAATATTTACTTACAAACTATAAAAATAAAATATCAAGAAAATCATTGATTCAAACAAAAGTGATACCATCCCCCCATGGCTTGTTCCCTTGAATCTATCTCATTTTTTCCCCCCAGAAATATAACATTAAGTTGTCCTATTATTGTATATCGTCCACATAAATAGGGGTTTACATAATTGTTGTTTATCTTAATTTCACATAATGTGTAAATCAGAAAACTTGGACATTCATTTTGTCAACAATGTCATAATACTGTACTGTTAAATTGTATCTACAATGATTTTCAATTCTTCAATAGGACTTATGTAATAATACTGGATACAGATCAATCTGTATATATACATATATACTAACAAATAATAGATCAGTTTGACCACATCAAAACTGTCTGGTGCACAAAGTGTCAACAGATGAAGGTTATATAAGAAAGGTTCTTAAAACTACTTAAATGAGCTACACTTTTTTTGAAACCCAAATAACAGCACACATGAGGGGGTATATCAACAAAAATATATCACTTTAAAATGTTTACATAAATCAAAACAAACTTCTACTAAACACAGACTTCTACATACATACAGAACTGACTTTTTGTGTTGGGTACCTCTAATATTTTATGTACTGGAAATAAAACCTTGTGTCCAGAATTGACAGAGTAAAATTTCAAATTACTATAGGCATATTGCGTATGTGATTATTGTAATTAAACCACTAAGAACCTAATTATAGCACCATAGTATATGATGACGAATTCATCGCAAAACATTGTAAGCTTACTGTCTTATATGGCATTACGATCTAATCAGAATTGGTTTTTTGGATTACTGATACTTCATCTTCATTATATTATCAGTGGAAATATTAGAATCAGCTACCTGGGGTAGGAGGTAGTCTTATAGTAACATGGATAGAAATAAAAAACATGTCATCTGCAAGCAAAACAACAAATGGAAATCAGCCAGAAATTCATAAAATAATACTCTAGCTAAAGGAGTGTGGCACTTCTTTCTAACATAACCCACAATCTCCATTCCTGTATATGCCAGAGTATATAAAAGAAATAAATATTGTTAAAGATGGTCAGATACATACCAATAAACAAAATTTGCTGAAAGATTATATAAAAGAATCATTATTTATATTCATTTATCATAATTAAACATCATCAAACAACTAATTATGTTTAGATACATTATAAACAATATTTATGACTATTAATGATACATTAATAACCCACAAAAACAACAACATAACCCACATTTGGTTAATTTCCTTTACAATAAGTAAAACTAATGTTGTATTCAATATGTCTTAAAATTAAGTTTTTTATTATCCCTATGCATGTTATTTTAGTACATTGATATCCACTACCAGTTTCGTATCCTTCACTATCATTGTATTCAGTAGAACTGAATTTCGTGGCTTTATATTCTTTGCTATCATTATATTGATATACACTGCCAGGTTTATATCCTTTACTTACATCACAAGATAATTATGTTATATTTAGTAAAACAAAATATCAATGGCCAGGTTTATATCTTTCACTATCATCACAAATAATTATGTTGTATCCAGTACAACAGAAAATCCATGGCCAAGGTTTATATCCCTCACTATAATTACAACATAATTATGTTATATTCAGTACAACTGAATACATACCATCAGGTTTACATACTACACTATCATTCACTACATACTGGATGTCATATTCAGTAAAATTAAATATCCATTATTAGGATTCATTATCATCACTACTACTTATGTTCTATGCAGTACAACTGATATCCACTGCTAAGTTCATATTCTTTTCTATCATAATTTTGTGTATTATATTCAGTACATCTTACTAGTGTCTGTCCTGCACTGCTGAGTAAGTCTTCTTCCATTTAACCCACCAGTATTAATTTTGCGACAAGATTTCAGCCTGTTATTTCATAAGTTCATGCTGATTAAACTTAACATTTAGTAACCATATCAAACACACCTTAATATATAAATGGCAGATAAAGATAAGATAATGCTGTATAAAACAGTAATACAGTACTTTATGGTCAAAATGGACATTTGTCTTCAAACAAAAAGCACAGAAACATAAAACATCTATTGATAAGTATAACAATAATCATTATTATTCATTACTAAAATGAGTAATTGCTAAAATGTCTTAAATATTTTGACCTAAATTTTGACTGGAATCACAATTTGCATAATCCAGCTGTCCTTAACACAACATTGCACTAGAATTTGTCATAATTTTCACAATAATTCCCCATACAAATCTTATCAAAAAATCTATCACTATTCAAAGAAATCATTGTCTATGTTTTGAGGTTAATACTTGCACATGAATACATGTAGAAATATATCTTCAGTACTAAATTTTACTTTACAGTCTCGATTAAACAGACTGGTAAATTAAGTATGATACAATGTCAAAAGTATTTGAAATAAAAATCAGAACTTTTTATGTGTAGCAATTATGACAGTTGGTTAATACACAAGATGTTCTATAATCTAACGAGTAAAGTAAAATACAGCGTAAATGACCAAATAAGTGCCCTAACGCTTATCACATTTTTTGAGACTTCAGTGCGGAGCTTATACGAGAAAGGCGCTTATTGCAAATTATTGAGAGTTGAAATCGTACCATGTGTTGTACATAGGCCTCTCTGATATGTTACAAGTTTAATATTTAAATATTTGTGAGAAATCAGTTGTTTTATAGTTCCTCAATGATACAAAAAATGCATCATGATGATAAGCGCCATAGATCTTAGTCTAGAAATGCGATGAGTAAAAGAAATACTGTGCATGTTTGGTGTTATCCTTATTTGAGAGCATTTCTCAAAAGAGAGGTGCATATTTGAGAGAGACGTTTATTAGATCATTTAATGCATTGGAAATACTTAAAATAATCCTACAAATACACCCTCAGTTATAGTTCACTATTACTGGGTTGGATACTAGATTCAAAAACAAACAGGGATTTTACAAGAGTGTGTACATGCAGTTTTAGATTTTTATCATCAAAACGAGGGAAAATTTTGTCATCACTCTAAGATTTACCAATGATGAAATGACATATGAAAGCAATAATTATTTTAAAATTATTAAGATTTCAACGACAAAACAACAATATTCAATGTTGTCCTTAGGCATTAATATTAAAGATATACATCTGGGATGACATAAAGAACGTTAAAAATAAACCATCATCTGGAATAAATTTATAATTAATATTTTGCAAGATCACATAAGATTAACGTCATGAAAACGACAAGATGTCATTTACACGATCAAAGTGATTGAAGCTAGTAGCGGAAACATAGGCCTAGGTAGTAAGCTCCATTTGAATTATTTGAATAATCATTGAAGAACAAGTAGCAATATTTAATATTTTTATTTTGTCCTTAAATCAACAGGAAATCAACTGAATGAATTTCACAGCAAAAGGTCTGCAAATCAACAAAAATGTTTGAGAATCATCAAAATAAACTCATTTGACCCTTTTTAGAAACTTTTTGTGGGTTTTGCCATATTGTATGACAGACAGTATACGTTTAATTTGGTGATAAAATCAATACAGAGCATTTAGTATTTTCTGGTTGACAGCATCATCTAATTTATAGACTTGGTCGATTGATATTTATCTATCAATCACAAGATAATTATTGCTGTTCAGACTCTCAAGTGTACAATAATACATATTTACATTCAATATTTACACTCACATATTCCTGTTATAAATTTTGTTAGGTTGGCAGGTATTTTCTCAATTCTGGATTCTGCACCGTTAAGAATATCTTTGGCATATTCTTGTACCTAAAATGGTTAAACTTAAATTGCCCCAACATCCTGCAATGTCTGATTTACTTTTAAAAATACTGAATATCTTGGAAAACAACCAATTGAATCATACAAAAGGGAATAAATTTAGAGCACACCAACTGTAGATTTCAAAAATACATACTGGACAGGTATACAAGTATGAAAAATAAGGTGGTTAATTTGAGATGTATCTAAAAGGCTGGAAGTCATACAAGAAAAAAAAAGAACCACAAACCCTGAGGAATTGTGTCTTAATCATCTATGCTGAAGCAGTTTGATCACACACAAAATTGGCTGTTTCCAGCAGAAATTCATGATGGACGCTACAAGAGCTTTGACATGTTTATCCCCTTTAGCTCAACAGTATGCTGTACAGATTTGCTAGATTAAACCATTCACTTATTGATGTAAAATTCAATCAATCAATCGTTAGCACTTCATCTAACTGTTTATCAGCACGGCACACCACTTGCTAGTGTGGCCATTTATCAATTAGCTACACACTCCTATTGTAGCCTCTAGACTGAGTATCCTTTTGTTAAAGATGCTTCCAACATGAAATTGAACTCATCTAGAGATTTTAAAATGTCTGTCAGAAACACCCGTGATGGCTCGTGTAACAGAAACGAGAATTCTTCATACATGCTATCTGTAACTGGTGTGTTGGCCATTATTGGAATCCAGAGGTGAAGTAAGTGTTCCCTTTAAAAGTAAAAGAAACAAATTGTTAGTAATCACAATTGGAAAAACATATCACACATTTAGCACTGCATGAAAGGTATGCTATGTCTTACTTCCCTATATTGGTTAGTGTGTGCAATAGTGGTCAGTCATTTGGAATATAATCAAACAGTTGTGAGTTCAGGTCTGGTCACATGGTTGTTTACATAAGGCCATATATGCCAGTCTGTAATCTGAGGCAGCTCTGTTTTTCCAGGCTCATTAGACACCCAGATGGCTGTGGTAGGGTAAATAATCTATCTATCTCTGATTTTTATTTTGCAATCTAAAGAATTGCCAAGGTCTGTGAGATGGGGAATATAAATAATTGAAGGGTAAAATGGATTTTTTATATTCTTTTAGGCACATGGCCAAGGACTACCATTAGCGACTTAATCAGTGTTTTATGAGATAGGTGGCAATCCCTTCACATGACAAACATATACACATGATGCTCTACATAAAGTCTCATAAACTTAAATCCTAGATTGAAGAAAAAAACAGTAACACAACATGGACAATTCTCACCTTATTCCTATGCAAACAAACAATTGGAATTTTCCATCCTTTCCAGAGTACTTTGCACCATCATTAATGTTATTAATTGTTCTACAGAACGATGCACGAGAGTATCGTTCTGCTTGAGTGCTTTCTCGTCCTTCGTCATCCTCATCAACACTTTGCAGATATTTGCATACTTTTTCTATAAGAAGGGAAATTATTTATTGGGATTGTTCTATAAATTATTTATCATATTCAGTCAGCTTGTGCTTTACAGACACTGCACATTGTAATTTTATGACAGTTATATATTGTTTCATCATTAATTCAATTGACAGATCTATATTTAAGTGGCATTAGAATGACAACTTAGTGCTTATCTTAAGAAAGCTTCCCTATTTCAAACTTACCAAGGAAGTCCCAAACAAAAAAGTTGTTGCGGAAGAGCCTGGCTGATTTGAATCCATGCTGCAGAATCTCATCCAGACAGTACACTAGACCCATCTCACCACACAGCAGAAGAGTCAGACTTCCACGCTAGGAAAATTAACACATAAAATGGAAATTGTAAAGAGTTGATATTGTAATATAAATCACCTCCATAGCTGACATACAAGGAAATGAGGGACATATGGGCCTTTATGATTTAGTGCACATAGTAACTGCCACAAGTTTCGTCAACTGAGCTATGCAAATCACTACAAAGATCTCCATGGTTTAGCATACACAGATGGACTACTAATAGTTTAGCAAATGTAGTTATACTACCCTCTGAAATGATTGTCATGGTGCATAAACACAGGGTGTTCACTATACAATTTCATCAACCGAGGTATACCGCTCTCATAAATACACAGGGGTCACTATTTGTTTAGTAAAGGGAGGTGCGCCGCACTCTGCAAGCAACTCCAGGTTTTACTGCACACGCACAGTTGTTCCAAGTACAGCACACATAGTGACAACTAAATAGTCTAGTTAAAATAGGTCTCTGAAAGGTTTCCCATGGCAACATAATGGGTGACAAGCTTTTTTCCACTAATTTATTGATCTTCTATAACTTTTCACATAAATGTATGATGTTAGTGATATTTTCCATGACAGCAGCAGTCCTGAAGTTGCTTCCACAATCCATGACATATTCCAGATTTCTCTATATCCACAGTAACCCAGGAATGATCAAACCCTTACCTCCTTTTCTGGTCGGTAGAAATGTTTGACAATGTTATTAACAGCATCTGTCAATGTTTCTTGTAGAGAATCTCGTCCTGGTTTGGGAGGACTGCTGCTCCTCCGGCGTGATGTGGGTGATGCTGATCCCGTCATCATTGGTGAAGTTGTCCTAACTCTGATTACATCATCTAACCTCTTGGACGGTGCTATCAGCTGTCCCACTAGTAACCTCTCCTGGTGTATAAGAGACAGACCATTAGCGACTTAATCAGTGTTTTATGAGATAGGTGGCAATCCCTTCACATGACAAACATATACACATGATGCTCTACATTATATTACAGCATTATGATAAATTTATTATGTATGTGCTTTACAGATAGCTAAACATGAACCATTATTACCAACCAGGTATACTTAAAAATTAAATATTGTTAATCTTTTTTTTTGTATTTTTACTGTACAGTAATCTTATAATGTATATATTTGACACTATACTGTATATTTTTGATACTATATGTTGTAATAGGTTACGCTTCTAGATGTTTGTGAATAAATTCATTCACGTTTGAAAGCAAACTACAGCGTGAACAGTTGATAGCTTATACATTATTATTATCTATGGATACTATCAATATCCCTGGAGAACTGTAGAGTGTAGGCTGTCTCCTGGTATACTGCCCAACTCATTTCATGTCATGTTGGAATACATTATTGTAACTTAAAAGCAATTGCAGCCTATACATTTTATATAAACCCAACAATTTTTAAGTTCCATCAATTAATGTCATCATGATTGTAATAGTTCATATAATTGATCAAAGTATCTTTATTTAGCTTAGATAAGAAGACATGATTTACTTTTTTATATTCTCTAAATGTTATTTCGTTATGTAAAGGGGCCAAAGGCCTAAATTGCAAATAAATGTCATAGACCATAGGGTGTAGGAACGAACAAAAGACTCAACATATTTCATCTATCACCAAAACAGTTGCAACTAAACGCAATGCCTCATAATTTCAGATGCTGAGGCCAGCAAAATCTTGCATAATGCCTGCATTCATTCGTTAATGTAGTTTCTATTGTTTGTGTGATTTTGGTTTTCATTTGGTAATAGTTGAATTGTATAATGAATATGAATTCCTAACAGGATATTTCTGATCGAATGAGTTGTACTCACTTATACGTGTGGCCAGTGATTTGGTTACGAACCAGCACCTGCTCCACCATCCATCGTGAAAGAATACCGGTCCCATCATGACCAATACGTAGAGTACTCAACCTACCTAAATTTGTGTACTTAAACAAAGAGACAGGACCAAAGTTAGCAATCCTAAAAAGTTAGTTTAATGCATTTTTGATTGACTTCGGAATTGAAATCCTATGCAACACTTCATACTGACTAGAACATAAAGCATGGAGGCTGAAAACTGTGACCAATGAAACAAAACAATCTAAAGAAATACAATGAAGAAATATATAAAATGCAACCAACAAGATTTTTTTCTTAAGTAAATAGAATCTATGAGTAAAGCTGCTGTAGTCTGTAGTATATTCAAAATTTGTGAGATGTATCTGTATGTGTGACAGCATCACTTTATGTGCACTGCCACTGACATAAAGATGAATGTAAAAAAATTAGTATTATTTTACCACTTCATTTTGAAGTAACCTAAATATTATAAACTTGAGCAAAGTAATTAGTATATTTAAAAATGTTTGCCAATAATTATACAGTGAAAAATGACAGAAACACACAAAAATCAGGGTACACAAATTTTAAATTAAACTAGATTTGAACTCGTCACTATAGACGAGTTTGGTGATCTGCCGTACTTTGACCCTTATAAAGCGCGCGCGGTACTGATAGAAAAGTTTCATAATATGCTAAAATATTCTGTACTAGTTTTTTAAAAAAGAATAATTTTCAGCATTTTAAAAGTTTTACGCATGCGTATACATACGGATTGACACCCGTGAGCATGGTAAAGGCACAAAGAGTGACTCCTGATATGAATACAGTGTCAGGAACACAAAATATGTAACAAAACGTGTTTTCCAGCTTCAGTACGTTCTGTGTGCGCGAAAATGAACGTATGGCGCGTAAATATGGAAAGTTTTGGAATGCAGAAAATGACCCGAAACGTTTAAACTATCTGAATAGTGATATTGAGAATTTTGAAATTGTAACATACGCACACGTCACGATGTGTGCGTGTATAGTAATGGCACACGAAATTAAATATTGTCGTGTTTTTAAAACCGTCTGTTCGTTATTAATGCCACAGGAATTTTCCCTTTGTTTAACCTATACTGTATATGTAAGTCTGATAGCGTCAAGATACAGTCTGCCGCCCTCTTGTGTTCTATTTATCTTTTAAGAATGAGAGATAAGAATGCTCTAAAAATTCATTCTTTTTGACCATGCTGACGTGATCAAAATGAAAAATAAAGGGACACGTCCGAAAGAGAATTGATTTAATTATAACATACTCACAGGTGGGAGAAAATCAATCAAGATAAGCGAGATACGTTCAAACGAGTATAAAAAGTAATAACGTCATAAATAAAAATTCAGTTTTTTCTTAATTCAAATGGCAATATGATGACGTCACATTGTCCGATCAGCCAATATGATCTATAAAATCGTATCTACAAGTCATGTGCTTTCAGACTATGTAATAAAAATTTGGGATCACCTTTCATCCTAAGGAGCTATAACTGATTAAAAATATTCATGGTTTTATGCATATATAAATGTTGACGCATGCGTACGTGCACGTTAAGTCGCGCGAACGGAAAACAAATGTACCTCACAT